CGGACTCACCCTCGCCGAGGCTTCCCCCGCCTGCACTGGCGTCCCAGGAGGACGCTCCGGCTCTGCCGCCGCTCCTCGCGAGGCCTCCTTCAGCGCCCGACATTCTGCTTGGGCTTGACTGTGCCAAGAGACAAGACCGTCGATGAACACCATGACGGACGACAGCCACGCAAGCAGCTTGCCGAGAGCGGCACCCTGGGCGGCCAGCGATGGCTACCACGGCACGGGCAGGAACGTTCGCTTGGCTCCTAGGGACTCTGCTACACGTCCACCGGCACGAGCTCCGCTACCGCCCTGTTTCGGTTCCCGTGGCACTTCCGTGGAGACCGCCCTGCTGCGCTCCATTCTGACGTGCTCGCTCGTGCCTTCTGCTCTCGGGGAGACATCTCCACGCCATCGGCTGCTGGGAATCTACAGGGCAGCTATGGTCAAGCGTCACGTCACAGCGGCACGTACCTTAACTCTTCCACCGCTGCTTTCAGGGCTCGATCCTTCGTCTCCACGAGGCTGGATAGCTGGGAAAGCTTCTCTCGGAGCAGGCTCAGTTCCCGCTCTTGGCGTTTCACTCGGCTCTGGTTCTGCTCCAGTTCCACCTTCTGCTCCTCGCTCAGCTCCCCTAGGCACACAGCAGCTTCAGGGGCTTTGGGCCATCTCATCGCCCAGCCCCCGGGGATCCGCCGTTCTCCGTGAAAACCCACGTCCCTGGATGCGTCCCTGTTACCCAACGCACCCTCCCAAGGGCCGTCAGCAAGAGCCCAGCTTTTCCCCGCAGACCCTCGCCCCGAGCTACATAGCAGCCCCCGGTTCCTGGGTCGTGCCTCCAGACCTCGCTTTACCGAAACACAGCGCAGGGCCCGTCTCTTTGTGTGGGCACACACCAGAGGAGTCCCTTGCGCTGGCAAGTTTCCTTCAGACTGCAGAGGAACGCGGTCGCCAGCATCTCCTGCCTGGCGGACTGTTACCTGCTGGCCTTCCTCGTAGGCTCTGCGCCCACGCTCACATCGCACGGTCACAGGCAGCGGGAGCAAGCCCCGCGCAGCGCTTCGGGTTCAGGCTCCGGCTCCTTTCTGCCCGGTCATCCCGGAAAGCCTCCCCGCAGCACAGCCGTGCCGCCCACTGAGGAATCCCAGACCAGGCTCTCCCCGACTGCTGCCTTTGGATACCCACGCTAAGGAGCCCACCGGTGGGACCTGCAGACAGGTGGGCTCCCTTTGGTCCCCCCGATCGCCATCGGGCCCTCTGGTTACCCTGACTCGCCATCACTGCTATCGCTTGGCCGAGGACCACAAGAACTTGCCCTACCCACAGGGACAACACAGCCCTCTGTGCTCAGAGCCGGGTGACAGCATCGCTTCCGGGTGGTGACATCCATTTCCCGTTATCTGCTCATGCCCGCTAATACCCACCAGCCTTGTGACGGCTCAGAGGAGGGATGGGACGCTGCAAACCACGCAGGACACTGCACCCACCTCTCATGTCCGACATCCTGGCTCTGGTTGCCGCCAGCTCCTTGGTTAGCCCAGTGATGATGGCCTCCTTGGACAGGAGCATGCTCTGCGCCGCGGCCAGCTCCTCCCTGATTTGCCCCAGAAAGAAAAGTGAGAATCTCTCCGTCATTCAAAAGAGCTTGCGGAGCCCACGCGCGCCGTCCTGAGCTGCATCTCACGATTAATATGGATATGCTGGCTTTCATACCTGCCGTTCTGTCCCCTAGGCTCATGCCTGAGCCTTCACGACTTGCCCAGGAGCTCTCTCTTACCGGGAGCCATCTGGACGGGACAGCAGATCGCTCAGACGCCATTCTGCATCACTTTGGCACTACAGGCTTTCCCCCACCATCTCACCCTAGTCCTACGACTCTTTCCACCATCACAGACAACACAGATCTCGGGGCAAGTTGCAGTCGGGCCCTCGGTCTCCCTCGAACTCTCCTAGCGATGGCTGCCCTGCTCCCAGCCCCTCGGACACGACCGCTGTCAGCAAGCCCTGCTTACCTCAGGCAACCGTGCCACTCCGCCGCGGGACACACCTCGGGTGACGCTCCCGATGTCGACTCGCGGGCGTCCCTCTGAAACCCTACAGGAGCCAATAACAACGGCAGATCGCTTCTTCGTCCCGCTTACACGTTCGGCGTGCTTGCTGCTGCTACAGCCATCCTTTCCTTCAAGGGCAGCCTCGAAGCCTAACCACCGCCTTTTTGGGACAACCGTGTCTCTTACACTATGCCTGACCTCCTTCCTTGCTCGGGATCACTTCTGCCCAACAGCAGCCCAAAGTGCTCCAGTCTCATTCCTGGGGAGGGCAGAGAGCCCTTCTCCTCCGGTGGGAAAGCCCCGCCGATGACCGTGGGGTCCTACCGATAGTCCCAAAGGCCCCACAGCATTACAGTGCAGCTTCGGGGACTCCCAGAGCTGGTCCGGTGCTTGGGCAAACCTCTCGCCGACAACTACCGACACGCTTACCATAGCAGCAAGCGCACTACTCCATCTCTCTATATCCATTTCACGCTCCCCGGGAGGCTTCCTGGGACAGACTCACCCCACGCAACCCTTAGCTACCTTCCATTTGGGCCACGAGCGCCGCATTTTCCGCCTCCAGCGTCTTCTGCTGCTGCTGGGCCTCCAGCAAGCTGCTCTCTAAAGCCACAATCGTCAGAGAATGCTGCTTGACTTGCTCCTTGTATTCTGCTAGTTCTGCCTGCAGTTTCTGCCTCTGTAACTCCGTCTCCTCCCGAACGGTCTTGAGCTGCTCGTCTCGCATGAGCACCTGCTGCTGCAACATCATCTAGGAAACAAGACGCGCGACCTCGGTTGACGGCAGCGCACTTGTTTGCCTTTGGTGCTTGGCGATCAGCATCATCTCTCCTGGCTAGAGGTCAGACGGACAGAGGGAAAGGAAGGATGCCAGGGAGGGCGGAGGCTCCATCAGGGACCGGGGAAGCCTTCTTCACCAACACCGCCTCTACACCACGTCCCCTGCGGGCACCCACGGCGAGTGGGAGTTACCTCTCGCGTCGCGGCTTCCTCCAGGCTGGCCACGGCTTCTCTCAGCTTGCTGTCTGAAACCTCCCGCTCCTTTGACTTCTGTTCCACTACCTACACGAGGAAATCAGCAGTCATCGAGAGGATCACTCACTTGCAACAAGCCAGCTTTCTCGCTGAAGATATGCATCAACATGTGTTTGGGGAAAAAAAAACCCCAACACAACCCACTGACCACCCCGACCAAATGGGCCACCATCCTCCGGGGCACTTTCGGATTGAACGATACGAAGCATGAACAGCTCTGCTTTACCTCCCCCGGTGTGCACCGCTCACCTCAGCCATGCTCCTCAGGTGGCTCTCCAGGTCTTGCCTCTTCTTCTGTTCTTCCTCCACAGCTTGCTTGCACTTGTTCTTCTCCTCGGTGAGAGCGCTCGCCAACATCTGAAAATGGACGTCCCACCATTTCCGTACCCAAAGGGACGTTCCGTTAGGCAACTAAGCTCGACTCTGATGAGGACAGCGCCCAGGAGGGTCACTGCTCTGGAGCAGGGGCATATTGGGGAGAACAACTTGGCAGGACGTGAAATGACACGGTGAAGCAGGGGACAAAGCGCCCGGGAAAAGGCACGGCAGAGACACCACCGAAGAACCACTCTGCTGCTCCTTACACCTGCCTCCTTAGAAAACCCGAGGCCGGGAAAACACCATTCGCGAAGCGACAGACACCCCAGATCACTACCAACCCTCTTACAAGACCCCCGCAACCTGCTGTCCCCATCGCCACGTACAGATACAGCAACATGCCAGCTCACACCTCGCCTAGCACCGTGTCCTGCATCAGCGCCGGTGGCTCGAGGACCGGGACATCCCTGGGGGCATCTCCCTCCCCGAGGGAGACTCAGCAAGACCCCGTCAGGCAGCCAACCCCCCTGCTGCACAGAAAATACACTTTCCCACCCAAACCAGCCCTACAGAGAGGCCAGCGTGGGGACAGGCGGGAGC